AGAAAGGGATGGACTAAACATAATTATACTTGCCTCACAGGAAATAAATGTCTAGATTTCATAGGTAGGTAAAACAAAACTGAGAAAGAGATCAGTTCTTCGTTACAGAATCCTATTCTATAATCTCACTCTGTTGAGCCACAGATATAGGGTCTTTTGTCAAGACTTTTGCAGAGACAATAAGGAATCAGGAAAATACATATTTGGCAATAGAAAGGGTACAGGATGACAAAATAAACAGTGTTTAAGGCCTCCACAATAGCCATTAGAGAACATCAGAAAAAAGCAAGATCAAGTCAGACATGCAACTGTCATATTGCCATAGGCAGTTTGAACATGAGAGAAAACTTTGCAATGCCATCTTTTGCATGAATCTTCATTAAAAAAGATACCTGCTATTTCAAGTATGCAAACGCTCTCTGAATACAGCTATGAATTAACTTGACTGGGAAAGCCTGTTTTCTTAGGAGTTATTCTGTCCTGAAGGCTGTGAGTTTTTTGCCTCGTCAAAACATTGTTTTAATATTGACTCGTTCATTCAAAAAAAATCTGATACTTGGCACCTAAATTGCACCATCACATAATACAAATAATCTGTTAATACAGTAACTTCTCCTAACTGGTTCTTGTTTCCTTTGCCAGTCGAGGAATCCTACAAATACTATTTTGAGATATAAAATGTTGCCAAGTACTCCACACATGTTAGTATGGACTAGTCACACTGGTCACCTGGGTGTCCTGTGCCAGCTCTGCCCATCCCCATGTCTTGTTGGAGACAAAGGCCACTGTTACGTTAAGATCCCTTTTTGTACTCCTTTTTAAGGTTCTCTATTTCATGTCAAATACTTGAAGGGGTGTTTCTTCCTGGTATTTCCAAATGTCCTTTCTCATGCTACTTACCCATACCTAAAGTACACAAACTCCTTCAGTGAGCTGTAATTCCTCACCATAAATCCTACAGCCTGTTTCCAATGCTATTTCTGGCACCACGGTAACCTGCAGACAACCAAACTCACACAAATGTCTCCAACAAGCACCTACTCTCAGCCTTGCAGTCCAATATACTCATTGCAAACACCAGCCCCATTGCTTTTGTGAAGAATCCACCTATCTCTACAGGATGCACCCCACTGACCCTTGCCTGCTTTTGTGAATTCATTGAAGTGTATGGATCTTTTCATATTAACCAAGTATTGCATTTGCTCATCATTCCCATAGCATAGGCTACTTGATTCAAGTAGGTTACTTGGTTATTTTTTGTGGACACCAATTTTATCATCCTCGGGCCCCCTTTTTTTTTTGAACATTTGAAAAAAATCCAGATTTGAACAAAAATGAGTGCTTCAATAATAATAATAAGTGCTTCCACTAGCTTAAAATTCTGAGGCAAGCAGAAGCAAATTCCAGGCTAATCAATAACAGCAATCCTTCGGTTTGGAATTCAGTAAAGAGGAAGGGATTTAAAGGGCATCCATGTGCTGCTATTCCACAGAACAATTCAGACCTCAGAGAATACCAGCCTACCAAGGATATGCTGCAGCTCAAAGAGCTGTAAAGCACAGGGACACCCCCATTCTTATGCTAATGTAGAGTAAGAGGCAAAGAAAAGACAAGCCTGAACAGAAAATATGTAAACATTACCCACCAGCAGACTAAAATAAAGGTAAGTACTCCAAAGGCCATGGAATATTGTTTATCTGCAGAGATGAATGGGCTGCTTCCCCATAGCAATTCAAGTACTGTTGTAAGGGTCTCATAAGATTTACTACTGCTATTTCCCACTCCATCTATAGCTTGCAGGGCTTTTTGCTCTGCTTTAACATACACACATGCCACAGTGAAAGTAATTAAAACCAAAAGAATCTTAAAAGAAAGCCTTTACATTTCCTCTAAACCACTGGAAAGACTTCCCATCTGTAATATCCTTTAAGCAGCCCAAGCACAGTTTCACGGTTTAAGTGATGCAATATTAGCTGAACAAGGGGCAAGCCCAAAAGCTATAGTCCACAGTCCAAGGCTATTATAGTCCAACTAGAAGAAAATATAGTTTTATTCCTTACTATAATCCGTTTCGTTGTAATGTACTGTTGTATAAGCTGTAATCAGTCAGAAGTGTCACATGTGAGCAGACAACATATCTGTGCTGTCTTTTAAATATTGCTCATCTAAGAATAAAGTGGCCAAATTCTTCCACATACTAACAACATTCACTAACTCTCCTCCCCTTCTCCCCTTAAGCAGTCTGAAGTTAATAACTGGTAATTTACATGTGACAGTACCAAAAGCTTTGCTGTAGAATGAACCGATAAGCTGATCACCGATCAAATAAGCTCTTTAGCACAGATGATTCTCTGCAACATCTTTCCATTTGTGAATATCTTCAAACAGCACAAGATACCAACTGATATAAAGCTGAATAGGCTTTACAGCATTTTCTGTTTTACTCTTGACATCTTACCTTTCAGAATTTTATATATTTTGATTGCATTGAAGATTTTTATGTTAAAGAGTTTATTTTCCTTCTTCCAAAGCAAATACGCTCAATAATTACCTATTTTCTTAATTGCAGCCAGCAACACTATTTTCCCCAGAACAGAATTCTAAGAAACTCACTGCACTCAGAAGCTGTTGGCCTTGGAGCACAGAAGCAATCTCCACTACTCAGAGACTATTCTGTGCTTTCTTATTTATAGTGGTGCTTGCAGATGTTTGGCACTCACAATACACACTGAAGACAAAGGCCTATGGCCTAAGGTAGTTTACCCAGCTTTAATCTGCCAGCTCTGCTCTTGCCACTGAGCGGCTGGGCTCAGCACTCAGCAGAGGCACATGCGGGCTATGCATTAATTGCCATGCAAATGGAACGAGCAGGTCACAAGTTCAAAACTTCAGACTACAGGCAGCACTTTTTCCATGCAACCTGCAGTTAAAAAATGGACCTGCTTGCACAGCGTGCAGAGCACGCTAAAGCTTCTGGGAGGTCAAAATGAGATGGAAAAAGTTCATGAACGCTTTCTTAATTTATTACAAAAAGGCATCCCCTTTGCCTCCAAGTACTCTACTAAATAGACCTCTGCTCTGACCCAGTGTAGCCTTTCCTGCCCTTTGCTTGGGTTTTGATTAGAGACCTATAGAATCAATCACACAGAATGACCTTTATAGGATGGCAACAAACAAAACAGAAGAGGTCCTACAACAGCTGTGTATTTAGAGAGCACTGTTTGCAAATCAGCACCCTAGGATACTGGCCTGAAGCCAGGTTGACCGCCTCTAAGCTCTACTCTCTGCCCAGCTTTAGCTAGACAAGACCTGACCGGAGCTTTCAGCCTTGTTCTCCCATGGAGAACTCTGCACCGTACTCGTCTCTTGATTCAGAAACCCATAATCCTACTCCCAAAGTCCTGTATTCCTATCCCTCTGTAACTCTAGCTGTCATTATTTACCTTTCCAAATATAAATTAACAGAACACACGGTTGTTTATAAAACTCTTGCACGTATAGGCACATTCTCTCCTGAACACCAAGGATAGAGTTTTCTCTGGAAAACATCCTTTCTCACATCTCCTGTCTCTCACCACTCACAAGAGCCTTCAGTTTTGCAAATACGCAAGAACACAACCATTCTGCACTCATTCAGCAAGTCTTTTGGCTCGAATCTACTCCCTCTCTTACTCAGAAGGATGTTTAGCTCTCCCTTTCTCCTCCCCTTCTTTCAAAAGACACAGAGCTTGTTCGCTCCCAATAGTTACTCATCAGTGATCACCCAAATCACTCAAAGTGATTTGACAGCCAGTTAAAATACGACCATTTTTTCCCTATAACAGACAGTTCTCCATTAGCGATGGCCTATGAGGCTCATCAAAGACAAACATTTCCATGATATCAACTCTTTTATCAGGACACAGATACTAAAGCCATCAAAGTAACATACTTCTTTCAAACACTGCTTTCCAGCAATCCATACACAGAATTAAAGAAATTAGGGTATCAGGATAAGTGATTAATATAATTTTTCTTTTTAAAATTAGCTCTCCCCAAAACGACAGACTCCTTTTTCAATATCAGGTCACTACTGTATCTGAACAGGTTTCCTGTGTGCTGCTGGAAGTGGTTCAGCTGGAAAGACACCCATTAGCTCTCAACACCACTGAGGCACTGGGGGCTCAGAAGCTAACGAAGCTGAGAAGCCCAAGACTGAGGTCAGAATCCACTTCTCACAACAAGTCAATAGTTCCATTACATTATCCATAATTCTACCCTGATTGCACCTCTATGATTCTGCTCTTGCTTTATAAAAAAAAAAACAGTTTACATACTGCCTAAATAGGCTACATATTTACTAAGTCTTTATATTCTCATCCACAACCCAGGTTGTGCAGCCAACTTGAGCACATAGGTGAACAGACGTTTAAAAAAAGTTATATATGTATACAGTTTAACTGCAAGGTTGTAGTCATTTGACCCTACCTCATTAAAGTCTTCCTACATCTGTAAATAGTGTACTTTTTTTTTTTTTTTTTTTTTTAAACTGTAGATGCTGGAGGTCATTCACTGCAGTTGTAGTGGAGAGGTGGGCAAATATCCTCCCTTGCTTATTGCGCATAAAACTATATCTAGAAAACAAAATAATCTGTTCACAGAACAGCAAGGATAGGAGTTACAGAAAGCCCTTGCTTGTAAGATATTCCGTCCATTTTAATTCCATGAATCTGTTAAAACACAAAGCACATTTTCCTTTGCCTACAACTACTATTTTTCCAGACTTCAGTGTGACCAAATAGTGTGCCTACCACATAAAATGAGATAGGCCACATTCTGAGGATGCAGCTTTATTTTCAAGAACAAAACACCACACCATTTCTTTTAGGTAGAGTATTCTATTACCTGCTTTTCTCCACAGATCTGCCCTGGTGATACTTTTATAATAAGAAACACAAACTACTACAGAACTAAGTTTAACTAAGAATTAGTTTAAATAAGATTAACTAAGTTATACTTACTGTAATCTGGGAGGCGTCCATGAATTGTAGGCCAAAGTAATCTGTTTCCACAAGGTCCAAATGATACACAATCTGGTCAAACAACTCCTGCCCCTTTGCATTTTTCTGCAACAGAAAATCAAAAGCGATTTTTTTAAAGTTTCAATAGGGAGGGAGACACTGCACAATTAAAAGTATTATGAAGAGATACACTGCTTGCTTAGGCAAAGAACAATATTGACACTTATTTTCTTCCAAACAACTGACATGTTGTCCCAGTCTACAGCCATATCAACAGCACTTAATTTTTCTCTTAAAGCTTTCAAAGACCACTGCAACTGAATATAAATGAAAAAAAAAAAAAAAACTATTACCCTGCAAGTGCCCTAAGTTGCAGAAACAACATTTACAGCTTATGAAAACAAATCTGCAAATTCTCCAGTAAATGCCTACTTGATACATTGTCTGAAATCTGTTGTGCTACCCAGATGTCAACTGCATTCTTACAGTGCCATGCCACTATACAAGCAGCAAAATAAATTCTGGAGAACTAGAATACCTGAAGAGTCCTAGGAGAAGAGAGGAAAAAAAAAGATACATACATACATATACACATACAAGTGGAATTTGGTAATAACACTACTAATTGCAATTGCATTCCCAGCATTTAAAATGCAGCAACAAAAGGTACAGCTGCAATCTAGCATACCAACTGCAACACAGGAACAGGGAAACACAACTAACCTCAAGCACAGGCTGTGGGCAGTATCAGGAAAGTTAACTGACCTCAAGGAGTCAGTACCTGTCTGCACTTGTTCAGAGGTTACCTCAAGAATTCAGGTCTCCAGGGCTTCTGCTTCAAACATTACAAGAACCAAAGCTTGGAGGTTATGTGTGGGTAGGAGGAAGAGAGAGCTAACAATACAGTTTTTCCATACCAACTCTACTGTATTGCTCCAAATCTCCCATTTGTGTGTCAGGAAAAAATTCTTGGGTAAAAATAAACTAGGTAAACATAAATCTCAAAAACATATTGAAGCTACATGTGTATTTTATACAGGAAAGACCAGTACACAGCTCTGAAACTAATTATTTGTCCGCTTTCTTCTGTATCACTTTTTTTTTTTTTAAATGTTGAAAACTCAAAGCCATCACACATTCCCACTTTACTCCAAAGCGTAGCAAAACTCACGGATTTCAACAGAATGAGTGTTAAATGGCTTTCTGATTTTTTCTTCTGGCCTTCCACAAAAGAGCAGCATCAACCATAACAAGACATACTCTTCTCCAGATCTGCAGGCTGTCACACTGGGAAAACCTGACTTCTCCACTCCAAGGAAAGAGAGGGAGTTTAATTTCTCTCCGTTTTTGAGAAGGTCAAGCACACTTAGGTGTAGGCAGCATATTTTAAGTTGCAAATTGACTAATAATGCAGAAGCGCAGAAATGGGATTTTTTCAAACTCCAAGAACAAGATTAAGGTTCTTGCTAAAACAAGTTGCATAAAAACTTAACGTAAGCTTTAAGTTAGTACCCTAATATACGGCTTTATTATTTTCCAGGCAAAAGGTGAATAACAGACATTCTTAAAGTTCAAGAAGCTATTGAAAGCAGTGGAGAAGATAAAAGCTTCTTAAAGCAGGATATTACTAAGAAGCCTTACGATATACAATTTACGTTACTGCTTTACAGTTTCAATTGCTGCAAGGCAAAGTAGAAGTTTGCTAAGAAAGCATCTAAAATGCTTCTTCCCCCTCGTATTTAGTAAATGCGGCACCTGTTAGAAGATGTAAAATCAAAGCACAACTGAATTCAAACAGATTCTGCTCAAATGGAAGAAAATCATCTAAAAGGATTTAAAAAAGTGGAAAGGCATGAAGAAGTCACAAAACAAGGCAATACTCCTTCAATGCCCTCTGACCACTCTGTTCCTGGTGCCTGCTTTATGGCATACGCTACCAGCCTGTTTATCTACCATCAAATGCCACACGCCCAATAGAAAACACCGACAGCAGGCTCCACCTTGGGTTAACATACCCAGACAGTAGTTAATGTTCAACGTGCGTGTTGCATGGAGAGAACAGCCCTGCACTGCACAGCCGTGCCATAAAACCCAGTTTTGCACACACAGCTGCGAGGAAATCATAGCATTTAAACTATCGCTGGATGAACAGCTTGCCCCGTTTCAGATAAAGCTGTTCCAGTCATCAAATGGCTGTTTTCCCCACTGTTACAGTGAGGAAGATAAAAGTGCACAGCCCCCTTTTCCTCCACTAGCAATAAACAGGATGATATATCTACTCATTTCTGCCTTCTTGCTGCCTGAAAAAGGCTATGTAATCACTTGTAATTTAACAAATTAATGCTTTCCTCTCCACAGCTTTTACAATTTTAAGGATCCTTGTTGAAGAAACACTTGAACATTAACAGTTGTGTCTAATCCGACAACTGTGCAGAATTGTCAGATATAGAAAAAAGCACCTAGCTTATACCTAAAAATTCCATTTAAGAAAGGTTAAAATATTTAACACGGCTTTTCTTTCCTTATTATTTTGCTATTGAGGAATTAAGAGTATTGAGGATAATTATTTTCTTAAAATTACATTTCTTTCCTTATTTGCGTGAGCTGAGTAATGAAATTCTAACAACGCAGTTGGCACGAGTTGTTCTAGAAAAAGCACCACTGCTTCACACATCACTAAAAAGTCTTATGCAGCAAGTGCCTTCGGTAAAAGATTTTCCTCCAAAGTTTTTTTTACTATGGTTTTTATGCAAGCATCAAATATTTATCCTCCTCCTTCTCCCACAGTGAGAGCTGCCTTCCATAACAAGTAACTTGCCAAGCAGCACAAGAGCAATCGACACATTGCAACGAACAAGGCTATTAAACACAGTTATTAACTCACTGCTATGAAAGTTACTGTAAGTTAGGAAAACAGATTAAAAAAACAAAAGCTGCAAAACCATCGACAGCTACTAATGGAGCACTGGTTAGAACCAACAAGAACTTATTAGAGCAACTTGAAACCTCAAAGGCAAATATTTCAGGGCATTTCAAATATCCAGCTTACAAATGTCAAATGCCTTCAACAACACAAAGCAAAACTGAAATAGCATTATGCAGCCCCTTGTGTTCCTGTTTGTCTTGGGAGAGGTTTAGAAATACTCAATTGCACTCCCAACTCCAGGTTGGGAAGCTCCATGTTGAGAGACTAATCGGAGAACAAGAAGTATTTCATATAATCTATTCTGTATGCTTAACTCTCAGAAAAGCAAGATTTTTTTTTCCCAGAAAATAAAAACTCTGAAGGCTAGTGTTATTTGTGATCCTTTGGCCAAAATATCATAGTTGATCTCTACATATCTTCTGGCTTTACGAGCCTGCAACTCCAATAGTTCTAAGATGGAAGGAATCTCATATAGGAAGGTACACACATATACTCTCCTTCAGCTAATTAAAGGGCAGACCCAGCACTCAAAAGAGGATGCCCCCAAGGGCTTTGAATCCCAGAACCTTACTCACCCTTTACCCTATACTGAAAAGCCTGCCCCATATCTAATATATACATCCGGTTCAATAACCTAAAATTTTGAAAAGATCTTTTAGAATGTGCTGTTTATCTGACCTAAGAAAAAAAGAAAAAGAAAAACAAACAAACAAAACACTACGACTACACTATGACTAACCATAACCTGGGGACTTTCTGGCAAGGACAATAGTAATGAACACAAAACATTTCCTTTTGGAACCTGAAATTTCATTAGGATGCATCTTCTGGAAATGCAGACAGCACCAAATCCATCTGGGATTAATGAGGCATCTAACAGTTTGATTTTGGGCTTATATTAAGTATTAAGTTCATAGAATCTTTTAGTAAAATACTGGCGTGTTCTTATAACCAGAAGAGCTTCAAGCTCCACGGCTCAATGTTGTTTGAGAATCTGCCTATTAGTGCTAATACCTGTTGGAGGATATTAGACCCGCTGCTGCCTCCCTGCCCCTCTCTTTTTGAGAAACCTTGAAGCCACGATGGACAGACTTTCAATACCTAACTGCACACACTGCAGCAGCCTTACAGGCTTGTTCAACAGGAGTTTTGCCTGACATTTCTGGGTAGAAGAGTCACTCCTTCCCCAAAGCTAGTTAAGTGCAGGGGAAGACTTTGAACTAACACAATTAACACATGCACAAAAAGGACTCTGTGCCCAGCCATATGCCTGCTGGTTTTGATCAACTCATTTGCCTAACTTGCAATTTCCCACGACATAGAGGCATTTAATAATAACTATATATATAAATAATAAAAATAATGAAATTCCACAATGTAAAACAATTACAGAAGAGCTTCAGACTCCAAGATCCAACAAACAAAGTGTTTCTTTGCATATCCAAGATATTTTCTGAAAAAGATAGAAAAGAAAGGAGCTGGGAAGTCACACCACAGAGAAGTAAGATATTCTTCTGCTTCCTTGCTGTTCCTGGAGACTGATTTTGTGGATGACCACTCTAAGAAGCGCTATAAGCAGGCTTAGGCCAGCTAGTCATCACTCATCAACAGGCAAAATCCCAGCAGTACCTCCAAAACATGATTAAACTCACAATCCAATCCCAATTTCTAGCCAAAAATCCACTGGGTAAAAATATCTGTTTTATGAGGATTTACTGGTGAATCCTCCCACAAGGACTTAAATCAGCATGAGTTTATAAAGCCCTGTGGAGCCATACTACAAGCTGCACAGGCTATAGCTAAAGTAGGTCTAAATCTTCAGGTGCCAAAGACTTTCAGTCTTGGGAAAGCTAGGGAAATTTTAGCCAGTTAAAATCAGAAAATAAGCCCAAAGATAAAATTCTTTAATTAAAAACACTCCCAGACTTTATATGTGTAAATAGGTAGGAGGTTTTAACAAGCTTTTTCTTTTTGGAGGGAGGGGACAAGAATTAAATGCCAACCTCATCAACCACAGATGCTTTACCCCAACTGTCTCAGCCCAGGTGGACGACAGTTGGTTTCAGGGATTCACTAATTGTTTGAAAGGTTCTTCCCAAGAGGATGAAGAGGGAACACAAGAGCCAGAAAGACTCCCAGCCTAGTGCAGACAGCACAAAATGTCACTACTGGGCATGTC